CTGAGCATTCAGCCCTACTTCTTAGGGTCAATAATGTCTGTGACACCTACTTAATTGCTACATGCATTTGTACTGTTCCTTGGCAATTATATTTCAGATTCCTGTCAATGTACCTGTTTGCCTCGGGGCTGTGTTTATATTAAATATCAATAAAAAAAACTGATAGCAGCTACACAAATGGCAATAGAACAAAATCATACATATCTGCAAGCCAGCCAGAGTAGAAGATGGGAGAATAAAAGAATGTTTTAATTTTATTTTAGAGGTTATTGCCAGGACATGTCTTTGCAAAACAAAAATAGGATCTATGTTTAAAGTATTCTGGCAGAAGATATTTACATTTATAGTTTTTGAGTTTGCCTTATAGCATCATGTAATGATTTTTTGTTTACATACAGCTTTTCATCCCCCAAATATTCAAAAGAATCTCGTTACCCAATATTGAAATGTAGCTACACCTCTAGCCCGATATAACGCGACCCGATATAACACGAATTCGGATATAACGCGGTAAAGCAGTGCCCCCCGGGGGGGGGGGGGGGGGGCTGCACACTCCGGTGGATCAAAGCAAGTTCGATATAACACAGTTTCACTTATAACGTGGTAAGATTTTTTGGCTCCCGAGGACAGCGTTATATCGAGGTAGAGGTGTATTTTGGGGGATGCAAACAGCACACGGCAGCAATACACAACAGGACAGGCAGTGGAAAATACTGTTTTGGCAGAATGTAGTTACCAGAATTGGAATTTGGCTAGCACAACAGGTCTAACGTATGTACCATTAGAAGATGTGCCATGAAATTTCGAATGGATCTCAGTTGTAGTTTGGGTGGCACTCTCACAGAGAGAAGCTGGTCCAAATACCAATGAATACACAGCAACCATGTTGGGACCTGGGTGCTCCTAGTTTATGAGTAAGGTGTGCTAGCTGGCAAAGTCATGAACATGCCCGTTATAAGCGGTGGATCTCTAGTTTATAGTCACAGCCCTGCCTTGAGGGTGGCGTGTAGCCATGCCATCAGGAGTACTGTAAAGGCATTATGTCCACAGCACAACTCCCAGAGTTCTCAGCACATGAAGGGAGCATGCCTGCAGCTCTGATCTTTTGCCCCTTCTCTTCTTGGCCTCTTAACAGTTGCTAGCACTTCAGGAGTACTGTGCTCAGTGGAATGTAGAGACTTGATTGAGGGGCATAGTGCAGGTAAGTTTTCTGCACCTCACTTTTCCTTGCCCATCACTGAAAGGGCTGAAGAGAGTCTGGCCTAATATGTTTCCAAATAAGAGTGGCTGATGTATAAAGAGTCACCTTCAGGTCACTCTCAGAGTGTTGCTAACAGTACAGCCAGCATAATGAAAGTGCAACATGCAGGAAGGTAGTAAATCCTCTCTCGACAATCTAGCATTCATTTTAAAGGAGCTGATTGTCTTTTAAAGGGCATGGTAGATTTTTAATTGTTGCCTCTTACTTAAAATGCCCTGCTTAATGCACCTCTCCGTTTCTGATTAGTTTCAGGGTCACTGGATTAATGCTTTTAAGTGATCAGCCTTTGGATGTGTTGTGATTATTGATATTAATGTAATGCAGAAAATATGCTAAAACAGGCATGTGTGGGTAAAATTTTCCCTGTTGTATCAGAATTTCCTGGTTTGTGGCAATACACACACACACACACACACTCTCTCTCTCTCTCTCTCTCTCTCTCTCTCTCTCTCATTACAGCGATTACTTATTGTTAGCTCATCCTTAAGCAATCTATAGTTACAAGCATGGATATTTCAATATGTCTTAATTTATAAACATCACTTTCCCTTGGTACTTGCTATCTGCAGTGTTGTTTATTTTAAAATAATTTTTCAAATACTTACTCTCAGGGTTTCATATTATAACACTGAAACTTTGCAGCCTGGGCAAGTAAAGTTGTCTGGTGGCAAGAAAATGGCCTCCCATATGTTGAACTTGAGCTCATATAGACTCCAAATGAAGCTGTGTTGAGTTTTATTCTGCTGGAATGAGTGGTGGTGTGATGTGAAGCCTTTGGGATAGGGTGGAGACAAGCAATAAGATTTTGGGGTCTCTGAGGAATGCAGGATAGAAGAAATCTGGTGAACCATTGAAATTGTATGATGTCATGTTTCTGGCATGAAATCGTGGATGTAAATTGTGAGGAAGCCCCAAAATGCCTTTAAAATTAAGAGTCATAAAGCAGTGATGTCCGACCTCAGATTGGTTATTAGTTCTTCCTGTTGAAGGAAGGACCATGAAGGAGCTCAGGTGCCAAGTTGAGAGCAGGCGCTTTGCATGCCCTCTGAAGAGGAGATCTCCCTTAAAATGCTCATAGAAAAGGAAATAAACTCTAAAGAACTGAAACTAAATGTTGTGTTTCAAGTGAGATTTGAACTCCTGACCACCTTAGCTATACTACTGCTGCAATGAGTCATTGAAACAGCTGTGCTGTTTTATAGTAATCTGGCTCCTCCAACAGAGCTAGCATGGTTTCAATGGGATTAGAATCACAATATTCAGATAGTGTTGGGCTATATGGTGGGGTGAGAACATGGCTGAGATTTTAACACGTCACTTTTGTCATCTAATCACTAAATGCCGTATTAGGACTGAACACAAGGTTTGCTTTCTTATTAGATTAGGATCGTATTTCTCCAAATTGATGTTTTATTTTTGTAGGTTAGGCAAGAATGATTCTGAATTTCAGGCCATGGTGTTTCAGGGAAACTTATTGGAGTAACTGTAAACTCGCAAACACCTGAGGTTTTCTGCTGTACAGTATAATGCCCTTTAGGCAACACCAACATTGTATAGTGACATGGGTTTACTTTCATATAGTAGATTTGTTGGAGAGAACTCAAATTTGTGTTTGGTATGTCTCTAGTTTGACAGGTTTTGATATTATATATAATATAATATTTCATTTTCTAGGACTAAATTTAACTCCACTAGACATGTTTTTAAAACAAAATCTGCTTTGTTGAGCTTGCTTTTTCAACAGCCCGTCTATGTAAACCCAAATATTTAGATGAATGCAGAGTTCAAAGATGTGTAGCTGAGACATTTCCCTTTTTCTCCTGGTGTTTTTCTTTGATGAATGTAAGGATAGAAAACAATTCACCTTTTTTCCACTCCATTAAAATCACATTCTAAGCAATCTTCTGAAATCAATGCAGAGTGCCATTATTTTACAAGTCTGTGGAAGCATTATCTGAAACACTTGAACAAGTGGGTAGTTGTATGTGCTTTTTTTTTTTTTTAATTACAGCTCTGATTTAAGTTAGCTTTATTTTTCTAGTGGAAGTGTTCTTTCAAATACTTGAACAAGTTGTGTGTGTGTTCATGCCTTTAAAAACAATACTACAACTCAGATTTTAAGTTAGCTTTGTTTTTTCTTTTTGAAACCATTGCCTTTAGGTGCAGGTTGTATTAGGAATATAGAGTGTCTTTCTTTATCATGTCTCATTTCACAACCACATGTGATATCGAGCTCAAAAAACTTGGCTTTCAAATATATTAATTCAATTTTGCTTTGTCATTTTTATGACAAATAACCACTTTACAGCATACAAAAAGTACTAGGGTGTCTTAGGATTTTAAGTGTTACTGGTTGAATATACTATGCTGTATTAAAAGAAAAAACAAACGTAATAGAAAAAAAAATCTTCTCACATGGAGAGTTTTAGTTTGCTTTCATGTACTATTCTGTTTATGGGAATAAAAAAAAAAAGGTCAATCAGTGTTGGAAAATCCAAGCTCCATGTTTTTTCATATAGTAGTTAGTGCTATGCTGTGTTTGCTATGCATTTGTTTGTTTATCACAATACGCTTACATACTCCAGCAGGAAATGAAAGGCACTTCACTTTCTAATGTGCATGCTGAATAATATATATTATTATAAAGTAAAACATACATTAGACTCCATTGTACTAAAAAAAAATACTACTATGCAGAGGGTCTCCCTCTAAAGATTTTAGCGAAGATAGGAGGTGTGTTGGTGTGTAAGAGTAACAACCTGGTGAAATAGAATCTGTCTTTTGACAGGGCTATTATGTATGTTATCCGCACAAATAAACTTTTAACATACAGTTAAAGTGACCATACTAAATACAAAACATTCATACAGAATACATCAATAACATTATCATGAAAAATCCCAAGCCTTAAAAGTGTGTAAATTACGAGTTAAAGTAATTAATAATCTGTTACCCTTACGGTACATTTATTCAGTAATAGTGATGTGACCCTTCCTGTTATATATTCTAATTAACACATTTAACTCTCACCTATAAAGTATGTCTTGGAACTCTTACACAGATTAGTGATGTATATATTGAATCTTCTACACCTATGTATACGTTTCCATTAGGTAAAATACATAAATAGTGTTGAAAGTGTTTGTAAGTATGCCTGTAACTGCTTCAAAGCAACTTTATTAAGAAATGGAATGTTAGAGAGAGACAAAATAATCCCATCATGATTTCCTGCCACTTTATCCAATATTTGTGTTGTCATGTTGCATTAATACATGATGACATTGCATCATCATGACTCAACACCATTGTCCATTTGTTGCAGTATCATGTTATAGTACAACATCACACCCATCTCTCCACACCTTGCTAGATGTTGGGAGGGTAGTTTGACTAGGAAGTGCATTTGCCCCTCACCCTTCTCTCTTGGCTACTGAAGGAAGTTTTCTCTCTCTTTTGAGTAGGTGTGTTTTCTGGGTCATCTCTTGAATGCTGGGAATGAAGGGAATGAGAAAATAGTTTCCAGAGGCCCGTACACACCAAGCTAACAGGTGCTGAGACCCAGAAAGTCCTGGAGAAATACTGACTGAAACTGTGCTCTTCATAGGAGCCACATGTAGAGACTGCACTTGACTTATGAGCTAGAACTTGCAGACCAATGGTTTTAGATACTGAATCAGCCAAAGATGATATGGTGCAAGGGATTCTATCAACTGAGTGTCACTCTTCTTTATTTTTTCAGATCCAGCTATCGTAAATGGAGTCTTTTGGTCAGAATCCTTAAACAAGGTGTTTGTCGATAACTTTGACCGTGACCCTTCTCTCATATGGCAGTACTTTGGAAGTGCAAAGGGATTTTTTAGACAGTATCCAGGTATGCATATTAATTAAAATAAAATGAACAGGTGATATTGCTACAGGTTTCCATGAAAAAATTAGTGTTGCAGGTCCTGAATTTTGCAAGCACCCACAGATTCCATTAACTTAATTTAGAGTTCTCAGAGCAGTTCTTAAAAAAGCAAGGGCTATTAATATTTATCCCCTTTCCCACCAATTAATATTTGTAATTGTGAAAAAATTGGGAATAGTCCAACAGCAAATATATTGTCACTTGCTTTTGCACATTTACCCAATTCAGGTGTGACATATATTGCAAATGCATGCAGTATCTTTGTGGGAACATATTGTATTAAGTGTATGCATCACTCTGGGGCAGGGATTGAATGTATGATTGTGTTCTGTTCTATGCGGGATGATTATCACAGCTTCTCCAAGAACCAAAACCAGGGTGTGTGTGGAGGGGTGATTAAGGTGAATCACTTAGGTTTTAAACACCTCTAGAGAGGTCCCACCTTTGGGGAGGCTCACATATACTAGTTCAAACTGGATTTTCCAGAGACCAACAGACGAAGAAAAGGCTTTTGGCATAAAAAGCTTGTGGTTAAACTGACTTGGGGCCTTTTTTCTAATCCAACGTATGGCCAGGATTCTTCAGTGCAACCCCTGCAGAAGGGTTGGAAAGACTTTGACTTACTAGGGCCCCATAAGACTAATGGGTGACCTCTGGTACACTTTTGACATGTGTATAGGGACTTCTTTTGGTTTCTTACATGCTTTTTCTGTAATGCTGTTACCTTAAGAATAAAGGTGCTTGCTTAGAAGGAGTGGTGTGGTATCTTGTAACTGCTGGCAATACACTGCTCATAACCCTTGCAGAGAAAGTAAAACACAGGTGGTGGCTTATAGGCATACTGGCTTGCTGGGGATATCACAGTGTAAGGCAGGGAGATGTGCAGCCGTAAAACCCTGGGAAGGAGAGAGAGAAAAGCTGTTCTCCACCCAAGAGAGATGGCATTTGGGAGCCAGGAACCTTAAGTGGGTGCCCTCGAGGGAGCACCGAGGGTGAATACAGGTGTTATTACCCTGAAACTGAAACACCATGTTTTTGTACATTTACCCAATTTAGTGCATTTCGCTTACTGTTTACAAATTCCTTGTATTATGACAACCAGGAAATTGATACAACTGAATGTAAATTACAAAAGAAATTGAGCCAGTACTTGCAATTTTTGCCATTTCAAACTCCAAACCTATTTGCAAGGCCTACATTTTCTCACTGTGCATCTTGTCCATGTAGAAATTCAGAGCGAGTTGGCATAATTTCAAGATGAGATATCACTGGTTCTAGCAAATGCTGTACATGCATGCATGCTAGCACAGACATGTAACAAAGTGGGGGGGAAAGTTTGCAGAATTATAGGTATACTTATGTTTCTTGGTTAGAACAGGTAAGACCCGTGGGGCATTTTTCTGCATAGTGCTGTATCATATGAGATATTTAATTCTGCTGGATTTTAATTTTTAATAAAAAATGAAGTTTTAATTTTGCTTGGGAATTATGAAAATGTGACTTCAGGCAGAAGTTATGCCAACATTGCAACTGTAGAAATAGAACTAAGACAGCTAACAATAATGTAAAAAGGCTAATTTTGGAGTAGTAGAGCTGTTTCATATTGTGGTAAGCAAAAGTAATTACTACACATCTTTATTTCTATGCTAAATCAAATTAAATTAGCATTTTCCATGCTAATAATTTCCTCATTCATATGACTTAAAGCAGAGGTGGGCAAACTACGGCCCGTGGGCCACATCCGGCCTGCGGGACCCTCCTGCCCGGCCCCTGAGCTCCTGTCCCGGGAGGCTAGCCCCTGGCCCCTCCCCCGCAGCCTCAGCTCCCTCCGCCGCCGCGCAATGCTCTGGGCGGCGGAGCTACAAGCTCCTGGGGCAGCGCAGCTGCAGATCCCAGCCTGATCCGGTGCTCTGTGCTGCGCAGTGTGTGGCTGGCTCCCGCTGGGTGGCCTGGCTGTAGCGCCACCAGCCACCAGTGCTCCAGGCAGCGCGGTAAGGGGGCAGGGAGTGGGGGGGTTGGATCGAGGGCAGGGGTGTTCGGAGGGTGGTCAGGGGGTGGGGTGGTCAGAGGGCAGGGAACGGGGGTTGAATGGGGGCAGGGTCCCAGGGGGGCAGTCAGGAAGGAGGGGGGGCTGGATGTGGCAGCGGGGGGCAGTCAGGGGCAGGGGTTCTGGGGGCAGTCAGGGGACAGGGAGAAGGGGTGGTTGGATGGGCAGGGGTCCCGGGGGGGCAGTCAGTAAGGGGGGGTTGGATGGGGCAGCAGGGGGCAGTCAGGGGCAGGGGTTTCGGGGGCAGTCAGGGGACAGGGAGAAGGGGTGGTTGGAGGGGGCAGGGGTCCCAGGGGGGCAGTCAGGAAGGAGGGGTGGTTGGATGGGACAGGGTCCCGGGGGGGCAGTCAGGAATGAGAGGAGAGGTTGGATGGGGCAGCAGAGGGCAGTCAAGGGCGGGGGTTACTGGGGCAGTCAGGGGACAGGGAGCAGGGGGGTGAATGGGGCAGGGGTCCCGGGGGGGCTGTCACAGAACAGGGGAGATTGGATGGGGCAGGAGTCCTGGGTGGGTGTCAGGGGGCAAGAAGAGTTTGTGGGGTCAAATAGGGGGCGGGGGCCGGGCCACACCTGGCTGTTTGGGAAGGCACAGCCTTCCCTAACCGGCCCGCCATACAATTTCTGAAACCCGATGCGGGCCTCGGGCCAAAAAGTTTGCCCGCCCCTGACTTAAGGGGTGCCTCTCCCTGGTGCTTTGAGACTCATCTCTCCCTGGGGTGAGATAAAAACGGGACATAAAGCAGAAAACCAGAAATCATGTCAAGTTCCACATATCAGATGACATGGTTTCAAATACCTTCTCTGTAAGTTAATAGAGACGAGAATTGCCTTTGCTGTAAGGCATGAAAAACGTTCCTATAAGTTTCAAGGCATTAAAAAAATGCTTAGGGACACACTTAGGATGTTTCTGTGTCTCTGGCTATCTCTCTACTTGAAAAACATTACATGAGGCACAAAAAGATAAGTAATTTCTTAACCTGAAATAGTGTGAGAAGATAAAAGAAGAGAATTCACCCTTCAGATCATTCAGATAGTACTCCGCTTGGGTATTCTGCTCTGTCTACAAATGCAATATTTCCTCTTCATTCATTCCTTTTTTTATTTTGCACTTTCTTGGCATCTTCTTTCTGATGCCATCTGATTATCTCAAAAGATTGTTTTAAGTATACAGTGATTAACACCCATTAAACTACAACAGAATACAGGCTCTTACATAACACTCTGCTCTTGCATAGCACCAGATCCTGCTCCCATTAATTTCAATGACAAAGCTCCCATTGACTTCCCTAATTCAAGATCAGGCCACTAGTGAAACTGCTCTTTTAGTTGATTGGTTAGAGGCTGTTTTCTGGAGCCTAAAGTCTTCAATGTTTGTATATAAGTATGTGGTTGGCTGATGACTGACACATCTCTCTATATAGGTTTTAGATTATAGTTCAGGCCTTAAGATCCTTGACATTTCAATAGTGGAAATTCTAGCATTGTTATTTTAGAGGATCCTTTATTGTGCTATGGATTGAATGCAAGTCCAGAAATATGTTGATTTAAAAACAGGGGGGACTGGCCTGTTGATGTTCTTTATTTGAAAGCTAGTATTATATTTCCTCTGACCCATGGGTCAGAAACATTACCTCATCATAGTCAAGTGATCTGTGGCAAAATGTCTGAAACACAACCTGTGAGTGATGCCATCAAGCATGACAGTCCCTGGCAAGTTCAGTCATGGTAGAAAGAGTAGTGGGGAAATGGACTTGATTAGCATCATCACACTCTTGCCAACTACCATGGCTAAGCATAGCAAGGCTCTAGACACATTCTTTACTATGATGAACAGTGGTGAAGCAGCCTTCACCCTGCCATGGGCTGAAAGCAGCTGAGAAAGATGATTGTATTTCCCATGGTCCTATTTTGTTAAAGTATTTTTCCAGCGTTAGCTATTGCAGTGACCAGCAACTGCTATAGTTCTTTGTATGTGATATTTAAGCATGTCTGCTCAATCAATAAAATATTAGAATCCTTTAAATGCTACTTTCACCAGTAGCAAAGATACGTATTATGAACATTCTGATATATTGTAATCTAATCTTTTTTTTTTAAACAGGAATTAAATGGGAACCAGATGAGAATGGAGTTATTGCATTTGACTGCAGAAATCGAAAATGGTAGGTAACAGTCAACCACCAATGTGTTTTTAAGAAATATAAAAAAATATAATATCAGTCTGCATTTTGCTTCTTGGTCTAGGTACATACAGGCAGCTACTTCTCCAAAAGACGTGGTTATTTTAGTTGATGTCAGTGGCAGCATGAAAGGACTCCGTCTGACAATTGCTAAGCAAACCGTATCATCTATTTTGGATACCCTTGGAGATGATGACTTTTTCAACATAATTGCTGTGAGTTTCTCTGTATTTTTCTTCCCTTCTTTTTCTAATTAATTGTTTTGTGTTGTATTCTTTGTCATATTCTACATCCTGCCATGTACACCAATAAACTGAATTTAGAGGACAGGTATCGAGGACTGTGTAATGGCGTGCTATTTCACTGAACCTCAGTAATTGGACAGACTCTTTGCATTTCTTCCAAAGCAACTTTATTCCTTGCTTTCATTTAACATATTGAAAATTCTCTGGACATATTCCCTCTTTGATCCCAACATGACTACTTTCTGTGTCAGACTGCAGAGTTTTCTGTATGTCATTCTGGGAGTTGCAATAATCTCTGCCATAATAACCTAATGTGATTGCCTGAGTTGCAGCCAGCACAGCTCTGGTGTGTGACTTTATGCAGCTTTTTAATGCAATCTGTATGTTCAGCTTTCCCCTCCACCCAATAGATGCATTTTTCTCTGTTTTCCGTAGTAGAGTGAAAGCTAAGGAATGCTTTGCACATAAAAATAAGTTACAATAGGCTTGTAGTGTCAGAGCCCCTTTGTTAAGACTGCAACATACTCGCATCAAGTTTACAAAGATACCCTAAAGTTTTCAGTCTGAGATCTGAGGGGTGGTGTTTAGCCCCCAAGCCAACTGAGTTCCCGAACTGCTGGCTGCATCAGCAGAAAAGTCATGAAGCAAGTAAAGCAACATGCAGAACTCACTGCACTGTGTCATCTTGATCTGCATATTATCACTGTGGGTCTCATTTCACTTTTATTCCTAATAGCCATTGTTTTTCTGTACTTTTAAAGCAGCAACAAAATAATGGCAAATATGGCAATTCACATGTTACTCACCACCACCATCCTTTGATGGTCTGCAAAATTATATGTGAAAATTGGTATGTGATACTTATCCCCCAAGTTACCATAGTATACGTACGTGAGGACATACATTTACTATATACCCTAGGTCAGTTTCCGATATGATCTTGTGATATGACATTATTTTGCAAGGAATAGAATGGGTGCAGCAAAGCTAAGCTGATGAGATGCATTATCAGTGTTACTAAAGATGATACATTAAATCATTAACAGCTGTCATTATTTCTGTGTGATGTGGCAGTTAATTTTCCACGGCACAGTAACTTTTTTAATTACAAGGTAAGAGCCTAATTCTGCAACCCTTAAACACAAAGGGACTACTCATGTGAGTAAGGGTGTCAGGAACAGGCACTAAAAGTTAGCTGCCTTTTCAACTTGTATATTGTGGCTGCCCTTGGCTTATAGCTTATACATGTTCCTTGCTGATAGCTTTAGAAATGCTTTATGTTAGTATCATAATATATCAAACCTAGGATTTTTTTAAAACTGTTAATTCAATATATGCTGAAGAGTTTATTCAGGTACAAGCAAGTGCACTTTATGTAGTACAAAATGTCCCCAGTAAGATGCAGATCTTTTGTATGTAAAATGACTAAATAGTCCCTAAATATCCAAGCACTTACTATATTTTAACAGATAACAGGCAGTTAGTTCAGAATATCTTTCTTATTAATCTTTAATTACTCATTACATAATTAACAGAAACTCACAGAAGAGGAAGGCATAATTACATTCTGTACCAAGAAAGGTTTATTGTTCTTCAACAAAACTGTGATCAACTTAAATAATCTAAATAATGTTCTAAGTGGCAAAAATGTATCAACTAAAGAATTAAGATTTAAAGAGCCATATTTAGTCGGTAATCATGATGCTTATCAGTAGTTGTGTCAGTTATTGTAAATGATTCAGGAAGAAAATTAGATGCTTTTCATGAAAATAATTTTCTTAATGGAGTAACCCAATAGACCTATCTATCTAGAAAAATGTATAAAAAATAGTGACTTTGCAATAAAGCTATGATAGAACACCTTCCTTTAGTACAATAACCATACAGCTGCAAGTTGCTTAACTTATTATAGCAACTCTATACTTATTCTTTTATAATTCTAGAGTTTCTGCATGCTTGGTTTATTATAGGAACTCCAAAGATATTTAGAGATTGTATTATTGTTGTAACTATAGAGTTATTAAATGCTTCATTTAAGAGAGTGTAAATCACTTTTTAAACAGTTTTTATTTTAATTTGTAGGCATTTTATATGATTTGAGCATAATATTTTTATACTACATTCTATACGATAGCCTCTTAGACACTACAAAATGGGCACAAACAGGGAGTTAGATATCAAACTGCTTTGGTTTGTGCTTGCCGATTTTGGATCCACATTTATTTGTAGACACAAAACTGAATCCATTGATGATGATTTGTGTTAATGCTCAAGAGCCCTGGCCATGGACCACGACCCCTTGTACTAGGCCCTGTGCAAACACAGAACCAAAAGAGCTTACAGTCTGTATAGAACAGGAAACAGCAGGTGGTACGGACAGACACATGGGGGAGTTCAAGGAAACAAGGAGAGAATATTAGTCAGCATGACTGGCAGTGGCATCTCCACACACTAGTAGCTTAACTGTGTTTTCAAGTTTTTTGTAGGCATCACAGAAAAGGAGAATTTTAAGGAGGGTTGTGAAGAAGGATAATAAGGTAGTTTTGTAGATGCTTATTGGCAGGGCCACCCAGAGGATTCAGGGGGCCTGGGGCAAAGCAATTTTGGGGGCCCCTTCCATAAAAAGAAGTTGCAATACTATAGAATACTATATTCTCGTGGGGGCCCCTGCAGCGCCTGGGGCCTGGGCAAATTGCCCCACTTGCCCCCCCCCCCCCACTGGCCCCCCTGCTTATTGGGAGCTCCTCCCAAGCATGAGGGGCAGCATGGCAGAAAACACAAAGGTGCTTGCTTGAAAATGGAGGCTGGCATGTGAAAATTGGTATGTGATACTTATCCCCCGAGTTACCATAGTATACGTACGTGAGGACATACATTTGCTGATGTACATACAGGGCTGATTGGACATAAGAGTCAACATCTCAGTAGTGAAAGAGCGATGATATATTGGGGAGATAGGCTGTGAAGATCCTAGAAAGTGAAGAGAAGTAGCTTATATTTGATGCAACTGAGAAAGGGGGAACCAGTAAAGGATGCAAAGAGAGGGATGACATCGTCAATGTGATGGGCTTGGGAAATGATCTTTGTAGCAGTATTTTGAATGGATATGAGTAGGGTAAGATTACAGTGTCAAGCCCAGAGAAAAGGATGTTGCAGTAATTGAGACGAGAGATGATGAGAGGCCGGACGAAATTTTTAACTGTATGGATGGATAGCAGAGGCCATATCTTAAAGATGTTGTTCAGAAGGAATCTGCAAGATTTACAGATAGCTTGGGTGTGGGCACTTAGAGAAAGAGATCCAAGTTGAAGATGATGCATGGATAATGGTCCTGAGCAACTAGTGTCTGTAGTGATCCTAAAAGGAGGTAGTGGGTAGAGCTTTTGGGGGAAAGATTAAAAGTACTGTTTAGCCATGTTGTACTTGACCTGATAGCTAGACTCCCACTAGATAGGACATATCAGAGTGAGAGGCTGAGATTTTAGTTTGGGCAGAAGGAGATAGGTCTGCAGCAGAGTGGTAGATCTGTGAGTCACCAGCATAGAGATGGTAGTTGAATTTGTGAATAAGTTAGGGGGGAGGGATCCTTGAGGAGGCCACTTAGGGATCTGGGGCAAAAATCAGTACTTGGTCCTGCTAGTGAAGGCAGGGGGCTGGACTCAATGACCTTTTGAGGTCCCTTCCAGTTCTATGAGATAGATATATCTCCATGTATTATTATTATTACTCAGACGTAAGGTGTAGCAGGACAAGAGAATGGGGGACTTAGAGATGTAAGGCAGAAGGGAGGCTGGGGCAGTTTCTGGAGAGGCAAGTGGGCTCAGGGGTGTTTGGGGGATTTTTTTTTAAGATGGGAGGGACTACTGTGCACTTGTAATACGAATAGAAAGAGCTAGAGGAGAGTGAGAGGATGAGAATAGACACAAGGGTGATCAAGAGACGGGATGGGGTAATGGGAGCAAATGGAGAAGTTAGAGAGGGGAGCAGATGAGAAACATCTGTGTCTGTGACCGGAAAAGGAGGAGAGAGTTGCAGGAGGGAAAGGAAGAAGGGAAGAAGCGGCAGTGGGAGGGGGAAGGTCATGGTGTTTTTTATCAACTTTTTCTTGGAAGAAATCAGCAAGAACCTGTGTTGAGAGAGAAGTGGAGACAGGAGGAGGGGAAGATTTGAGGACTGCATCAAAGATGACAAAAAGGTGTCTGGGATTAAGGATATGGGATTCAATTAAGTTGGAAAAGTAGAATTGCTTATTAGGAAGATGGCAGAACTGGAAGGGAAGAGAATGAATTCGTAGTAGAGGAAGTCAGCCTGGCCATAGGATTTCTACCAATAACACTGCAGCATAAGAGCAGGAAGTGAAGAGGCATATATTGGGGGTGAGCCAGGAATCAGGGTTGGCAGGATGGATCTTGCAATGGGAGAAGGCCAAAAGAATCAAGCGGAGGAGAGTAAACCATGGAGAGAGTCAGCAACAGTATCAGTGAAATAAAGTAAGATAAGGCAGGAAGGAGGGGGCTCAGAGCAGATGAAGGGCTAAAGCCTGACTAAAAATGAGTTGTGATCACTATACATGAACATCATTAAAAATTCCGTTAATTGAAGTATGCATAAGATAGGATAGTGAAAAATATTTTAATAGACAGGGTATATATATGATATATACAGGGCTGGCTCCAGGCACCAGCCCAGCAAGCAGGTGCTTGGGACGGCCAAGGGGAAGGGCTGTTCGGCGGTAATTCGGCGGCGGGTCCCTGTTGGAGGGAAGCACCTGCCGCCGAATTCCCACCGAAGAAGAAAGCGGCGCGGTGGAGCTGCTGCCGGAGTGCTGCCGATCGCAATTGCGATCGTGGCTTTTTTTTTTTTTTTCCCCGCCGCTTGGGGCTGCAAAAACCCTGGAGCCGGTCCTGGTTATATATGGACTGTTTCATCTTTACTAAATTATTTTCTGAATATATCTGTGTATATAGAACATAAAAGAATCCAATGCAGGTCTTTCCAGAAAATAAACATAAAAAGATAATGTTAAAAATCGTTTTCGCTTTCATGGGTAGGTTATTGCAAAACCTATCCAAAATTGATGGACTAGATGATTGAATTACAAAAGTATTGTTGAAATATGAGAGTGGTTTTGTGCAGTCTAAGTTAAAATTTAAGGTCAGATCATCAGTGCATGAACAGAGATGTCTGCAACAACAAGAGAACAGACATATTTTTTCAATTTGCTTTGAAGTATAACTTTAAGTCATGCATTAAATTAACAATATTATCATAAAAACCAGAGTGCTAATTCTGTCCAATGCTGAAATTTGAAAAATACTTTTCAGAAGCATAAGCCATACATGATATTATGTAAAATATTAACTGGGATGAGATTGTTAAATCAATTTAAATGCCTCAGCCAAATGATTTTTAGCAAAGTTGATTAGAGGAGATCATTATTGGTGAGTTCAAGGCACAGCAATAAGACCCCCAGTTTTTAATGTGCAGAATTTCCATTATAACCATATCAACAGAGTTTGTTGTGGTCGTTCAGAATTGCATCATTTGAAGCCCTTCTATTCATTCAGAATAGATGAAGGGTGAAATTCGCTTCAGCCTGATTGAGTAAATCAGGCTTTGTGCCACTGAAGTGTAGATGGTTGGATTTCACTTCCACCAAACCTGAGCCAGCATGTAGGGTTGTAATACGTTTTCTCCTGCCTTTGGGCTGGTACAGTCGCTACAGATTCTGTGCTACTTGTACAGAGTGATGGGAGAGAGGAATCATAGAAATAAAAAATTGCAGCTCCCCTGGTTTGAGCCTATTGTTATGCTCCATATCAGGCTGTCCAGGGATCTTTGTGCAGTCCTAATCTGGGTGTAAATAGAATGGAAGGCCTCATCTTGGCTCAGTACAGCAGAGGTAAATTTCATTGTCTCTCTCTATGGATTTTGTTTTAGATCTCTTAAGAGAGGAATATGGAAACTGATTGACTGGAAGCTGCTTGCTTACCTCTGCTGGACACTCATCTCAAGCCATATTTTCAAACATTAATATTATGTGATCATACAGTATAACAGTGCATACAGATTATAAAGACACGTGTTTCTAGCCTCAGTTTCCACAAAAAGGAGCAGCTGTTGCAGGGGGATATACCAGGTTACATGTCTCTCTCTCTGAGTAAATGTTTCTCTTAGAGTCAGTTCGTGATCAGCTGCTTCCCCATTTTACTTTGCTCCAGCAATGTCAAAAATTTAATTTGGGTTTGAACAATTTTTTTCATTTTAAATTGCCAGGGAGATAAGATCAGTTTGAGATTTTAAAGGAGAAGTTGGGAAAGGATGGTGCAGGGGAAACTTTCTCTATTGTATTTAGGGTCCTGCCAAATTCACGGCAATGAAAAATGCGTCACGGACTGTGAAATCTGGTCTCCCTCTGTGAAATCTGGTCTTTTGGGAGTTGGTCACAAGGTTATTTTAGGGGGGTAGCGATATTGCCACCCTTACTTCTGCGCTGCCTTCAGAGCTGGGCAGCAGAAGAGCAGCAGCTGTTGGCTGGGCGCCCAGCTCTCAAGGCAGCACCCTGCCAGCAGCAGTGTAGAAGTAGGGGTGACAATACCATACCATGCCACCCTTACTTCTGCACTGCTGCTGGCAGCAGCTCTGCCTTCAGAGCTGGGCTCCCAGCCAGCAACTGCTGTTCTCCAGCTGCCCAGCTCTGAAGGCAGCGCCGCTGCTGGCAGCAGCACAGAAATAAGGGTAGCAATATCACAACCCCCTGCTGCAATAACCTTGTGATCCCCCCAACTCCTTTTTGGACCCCTACAATTACAACACCCTGAAATTTCAGATTTAAATAGCTGAAATCATGAAATTTATTATTTTTAAAACCCTATGACGATGACATTGACCAAAATGGACCGTGAATTTGGTAGGGCCCTAATGATATCAGATGCCCATTTTAGGTGTGGTAGAGACAAGGAACACTAGTGGCTAGAGTATATGGATGTGGGAATATGTGACAGAAGAGAATATATTGAAAACATAATTGAAACTCAAGACTACTCAAAGCTTTCACCACAGAAGTTCCTCTTTTTACTTTAGACAGTTATTGTTGTGATAGGGTATGTGAAAGTTAAGAGACAACTTTACATTGAATGAGGGAAACCTGGATTTTCTATGTCCTTACTCAGTTAAGAATGAAGTTGTGCATTTCGTCAGGCAAGGTTGGTAAAGCAGACAATCGTAAGTCAATTGATACAGAATCATTAATGTTATTGAGTGGTTTTGATTAATACCAAACTGTAGGTAACTAATTTTTTCTTGGTACTTGGTTCAAAGGTTTGTATGGCTCCTAATAATGGGAATTAGTGGCTTTTAGCACCTTTTGTAACTACCCTTCTTTCTTACATGGGGGTTTTGTAGCTGTGGTTTGGCTTATGCCCCAGTAACGTGCAGTCTTGTCTTTATTTACACCCACTATACATATTTTATAAAAGCTGATTCTCATTCAATAATATACAGTCCCATGATGGGCTTCCCCTTCTGAGACCCTTTGCCAGTCCTCCAGGTGAACCCCTTTCAAGTAGCAAGCCCATGCCCCCACTTTTTTTTGTCTGGGTCTCTGGATTGCATGTCCCTGATAGCCAGGAGGGTTTCCTCCTTCCCCCCAAACTCCCTATCTGACACAGGAGGAGTTGACCTGGTCTGTGAGACACACCAGAGGGGAAGGTCTAATTTGGAAAGGGATCTGGCCTGTCCCTGACCCACTAGGTGGGACAACAGAGACTGCGGAGATTGTTTTCCCTTTCCCCCATGCTGGCCAGTGATGAGGTTAGCTGAGTGAACGGCAGGTTTGTGCCACTAACAAAAGTGGTCAAACTGAGGACTGCCGTGAACCTCTCAGGCGAGCAAATCCGCCAGAAAGCGCAGGATCCACCAAGGCAGAGGAGGAATTTTGTCACAGTGTGCATAGGAATCCTCAGAATGGATTGATATTGACTGCATTAAAATAATGAGGGATGTATACACACTAGCTGCAGAACAGGGAATCACTGACCAGATAGCACGTGTCATTGATACAATAATCCAATTACTCTGTTACTCAGTTTGAATGCAGACTATAGCCCCTGCAGTCAGTGAGTGTAGTTATTTGAGAGTTATACTAGTGTATAACTGACAACAGAATTTGGCACAATGCCTCCAGAATAGTTTGGCACTGATCAAATTAAATACCCTGCCCCATGCACTAATGATCATGTAATTAATTAATGAGTGTTGGAGAGTACTGCAGTCAGTGTCCACATGAATGATGATGACTGACGTCCAAGAAGGAGAAGGCTGCAGGGGGTCTAGGGTTAGACAGAATATGAGAAAAAGGAGCAGTGTGAAGCTGAAGAGAATGTAGAATAAATCCCGAGTCCCAGCCAGACATGGACAATGCGGACTTGTAATGTGGGAAGAACCTTGTGTTAGCCGCACTTTTGCAATGAATCATTGTAAGACTCTTTTTATTCTCACTGAGATGGAGAGAGGCGGAGTGAGTACTTACATTAATCATGTGAAATTTTTTCTCTGAATACTTTTGGCTGAACTTGCTGTCCTCTTTCATTGGCTGTCATGGTTCTTCTACTGATTCACTTGGTATCTGTTGAGGGGTGAAACCAAGCAGAACTGGAGCATAAAGGCCTCCCCCTCCATATTTTGGCTTCTGATACCTCTGCAGAAGAATAGACAGAAAAGGAAGAATAAGGGTAACATTCATGCTGTGAGACTAATACCCAGTTTTTAAAAGGTATTTTGACATTCTCTGCTCAGGGTTGCAAGGCCTAAGGCTCAGATCAGTGGTGGTTAGGACCCTAAATACTTTTGAGGCTTTCAGCCTAAGTGAATTAGACATCTAAGTCCCGTTTTCAAATGTTGATGCACATACATCTCACTGAAAGTCAATGGGACTTACTATCCTCAATGTTTAGTTCATTTTTGAAAATGGGACTTAGGCCATGTTTACACTACAAAATTAAGTGGACCTAACTTACATTGGCATACGGCTGCCACAGTAATTACATCACTTGTGCATGTCTCTGCTTTGCTCCTTGTATCGGCAGTACATGTCCTCCAGGAGCACTTGTACAAATTGTCACTGTGTTGACCTAACTACATCAACCTTGACTCTACGCCGCACATAGAGGTGGAGTTCTTATGTCGGCTAGGTTGACATAAGCTGCCTTATGTCAACCTAGCTCTGTAGTGCAGACCAGACCGTAGCCATCTAAGTCACATAGGCCTTGCAGTAGTGAGTGGAGCAACACCTAATACCTTTTAAAACTCTGGGCCCAAGTGATGGAAGCTAGTTTTACAAAGACTGCCAATCTCTGATTGATCACTTTCAAACATTTCCAGAATGGATTCAAATTCATAGAGCTTTGGCTCAGTTCCTACAATACCATCCCCCCAAAATGTATCATGCCTTGACTCAAATATTTGTCAGTGTTTGCTCAAAATGAAGCAGAGGATTGGGAATTAAGGCTGGAACTGTATCAGCATTGAATTCTTAATACTATCCAGATTCCAACCTGGGAGGTTTTTCTGTTAGCCAGTCTTCCTAAGACTCAGCACATTTGTATCTTTTGCTATAGTATGGTTTATTTAATTATGTACAGTACTCACTAAACCTACCTGTATTCTGGCATTCAATCAAGTAGGTCCTCCCTTTTTAAAATTCTAGCCTTTGAAATACTAAGAACGATATGAAGAAGAAAAAAATCCCATGCCCAGTTTTTTTTAAATGAATTGAATTCTATTGTTTTTACTTTATATGCATCTTTTTTTACTGTAGCGCTAAATCATTAAAATAAATTGTATCTTTCAAAGTCTTTAATTAAATTTTCCATCTTCCCACTCCCCCCACAGTATAATGAAGAACTTCACTATGTAGAACCGTGTCTGAATGGAACATTAGTACAAGCAGACAGAGCCAACAAAGAGGTAAGGAATGAGAGTAACAAAGCAAAAAGGATATAGGATGTGATGCATATCACTGTATTATAATGATCTTTTTAAAAATAACCAGATCCCATTATTAGAACTTATTACGTTAATTGTTCTTGTCCCATTTAAAAATAGTGTGTTATGTAACTCCGCAGGTAAGAAAAAAATGTTCGCTTAGTTACTTTGAGCAAATAAGCTTATTGGAATAATATATAAATAATTTCAATAGAAATTGCAGGGTATTAATAAAGTTTAGTCACTTTTTTTTTCAAATCACACCATACTGGTTTAAATTGCTTTAAATTATAACTGTCTCACTGTTCTCAAAAGTCACATAGAATCAGATACCATATTTATGCACAAAGAGGAATGTTAAAACAAAAAATCTTTAAACAAATGAAAGCAACTGTAGTTTCTCTATGTAACACTGAAGTTTCAGCTTTACATGCCAGATTGTCAAAAATTATAATAATGGTGTTCTTCTAGAAAGTTCTCAAAACACTGTGCAAATTTCAAACACAATCCTTCAGTCATTTCTCAGGGAACATTTATTTTGACTTCAGTAAGAGTTTTATTTGAATAAAGACTGTGGGATCAGACACTGTATAGGATATTTTGCCTACCATCTTAATGTATTCATCCCACACCAGCAAAGATACACAATAATTCTTGGTAAGTGAAGGTAAAAAGAATTATGCCAATTGAAATTGTGGGGTTTTTTTTTTTTGTAGACAGGATGGTCAAAAGGAGCAAAACAATGGAAAATGGCCTGCAGCTAGTATAATGAAAAGTCAAGCTAAATAATGGAAAGAGTGGAGGGTGAGGCAGATTCCAAACAGTGAAATCAGTCAGGCAATGGAACAGTCGACCTCAGAAGTGTTCATGTCTGTATCAGTTTGTGTAATATGTGCTATCCGCAAGCAATAAAATTATTGCCTACAACTTTTTTTTTTGTGAGCTAGGCTATGACTTTTGTTTTTCATTAAGGCCATTTTGACATCCACAGAAATTCAGCTATGACTTCATTGATCATAATTTTTAAAGAAAGAAAAGATTTAACATTCTAGCCAAATATTTTCAAACCTTCTTCTACATTAGTAATAAATGATGGATTTAAAAGTGACATTAAACCTGTTAAATTCAAGGAATTAAGGCTTTGCTAAAGGAAATGACTCAGAACTGCTATATTTAGACACCCATTCATAACAGAGAAGATGCAACAAGTACGATTAACCCCTTAAATGCGTGTCAGAAAAGTTTGCATAAATGAGTTTAAGGGATTTGATTTTCAGAAAGTACTGAGCAGCCACCCTCTGAAAAATCAGACCCCTTTTAAGGTATCTGAGGTTGGGCATCCACTAATCACTTCTGAAAATCTTGGCCTATACCTCTTGGATTTTTGTTCCAAGTTGCTCACAAGATACAATGTGACTTATTCACAATAGTCTTTCAGGCCAGTTGGTTTCCAATCATTACCCTCATATTTGCCCCAAATATTCCTTGTCCCTTTGAAATCAGAAAATGGGGAGAAAAAGTGAGAACTGCCAAAAGCCAAGGAGAGTTGAACCTTGCAAAAGGAAATTAAAACCAATCATAAAAGATTCTGTAGTCATATAAGTTAAAAGAAAACAAGGAAAGAAGAAGGGGGACCACTAAGTCGTTAGGACGGGGTGGGCAAACTATGGCCCGCAGGCCACATCTGGCCCGTGGGACTGTCCTGCCTGGCCCCCGAACTCCTGGCCCGGGAGGCTAGCCTCCGGCCCCTCCCCTGCTGTCTCCTCTCCCCCACAGCCTCAGCTCGCTCGCTCCACCGCCGGCGCAATGCTCTGGGTGGCGGGGCTCTGAGCTCGTGGTGCAGCGCAGCTGCAGAGCCCGGCCTGACCCAGTGCTCTGTGCTGCGTGGTGGTGGTGGCGGCGGTGGCGGCAGCGTGGCCCGGCTCCAGCCGGGCAGTGTGGCTGTAGTGCCACCAGCCACCGGTGATCCAGGCAGCGCGGTAAGGGGGCAGGGAGCAGGGGGCGTTGGATAGAGGGCAGGGGCATTTGGGGTGTCATGCTAAAAGGTGAACTGTCAAGGATTGATCTTGGGACCAATCTTATTTAACTTTTTCATTAATGATCTTGGCACAAAAAGTGAGACTATACTAGTAAAATTTGTGGATGGCACACAGGAGGTATCATACAAGAAGATTTGGATAACATTGAAAACGGAAGTAATAGAAATGGGATGAAATTTAATAATGCAAAGTCATCCTCTTAAGAACTAACAACAAGATCTTTTTCTATAACCTGGGGATATGCTAGTTGGAAGCAATAGAGGAGGAAAAGATCTGGGTGTATTGGACAGTCACAGGATGACTATAAACTGCCAATGTGATGCAGCCATGAAAAAGACTAATGCAATCCTAGGGTGCATCAGGTGAGGTATTTCCAGTAGAGACAGGAACTATTATTACCATTATGCAAGGTGCTGGTGAGACCTCATCAGGAATACAGTGTGCAATTATGGTCTCCCATGTTTAAGGAAGATAAAATTCAAACTGGAATAGGTGCAGAGAGGGGCTATTAGGATGATCAGAGGAATGGAGAACATACCTTACAAGAGGAGACTTAAGGAGCTTGGCTTATTTAGCGTAACAGAACGAAGGCTGAGGGGAGATATGATTGCTTTCTGTAAATACATCAGAGGGATAAACACCAGGGAATGACAGGAGTTCATAGAATCATATAAGAGGGTTGGAAGAGACCTCAGGAGGTCATCTAGTCCAACCCCCTGCTCAAAGCAGGACCAACCCCAACTAAATCATCCCAGACAGGGCTTTGTCTTTAAGTTTTTTAAGTTAGGGGCTGATGTTGGCAGAAGAACAAATGGATATTAACTGGCCATCAATAAGTCTAGGATTGAAATTAGACAAAGGTTTCTATCCATCAGAAAGTGAAGTTTTGGAACAGCCTTCCAAGGGAAGTAGTGGGGCAAAAACTCTAACTTGTTTTAAGACTCAGCTTGATAAGTTTATGGAGGGGATAGTATGATGAGATTGCCTGCAATGGCGTATGACCCATCCATGACTGCTACTAGCAAATATCTCCAGTGGCCAGAAATGGGACACTAGACAGGGAGGTATCTGGCTGGTGTGTCTCACCCACATGCTCTGAGTCTAACTGATCACCATATTTGGCATCAGGAAGGAAATTTCCCCCGGTCAGATTGACAGAAACCCTGGTTTCCTCTACAGCATTGGGCATGGGTCACTTGCTGGCTTGAGCTCAAGTAAATAATGGATTCTCTGTTACCTAAAGTCTTTAAATCAAGATAGGACTTCAGTAACTCAGCCAGCGTTTATGGGCCCATTACAGGAGTAGGTCTGTGGCCTGTGATGTGCAGGTCAGACTAGATGACCATGATGGTCCCTTCTGGCCTTAAAGTCTAAGAGTCCCTGTATAAGGGGAAAACTGTGGCAATCTCAAATAACAGTGTGCAGCGACTGCTGACCTAATTGCAACAACTGCATTTAGTCTAGTGGGAAATACATATTGAGTATCTCATTTGTACAGTATACTTTAGGTATTTTAAAGTTATTTTGTGTGTATTTTGGTACCTGTAGCTTTTGCAATGCAGTGGAAGGAGACACTTCCTTGAAGGAATACAATTGTTTCTTCAGAACTATGGTGGAGTATCAAGTACTCTGTGTGTGTATGTAGGATATGTACCAAATTGAAACAAAATTATCTATCCAACAGACAATGGCAAAAAAAATTGCCATTCAGTCTGCATCACCTATTCTGCTGTCTTGTTACAATCACTGACTGTGGTTGTTTAAAAGCACAAATAGTTGCACAGAAATGGCTGGTTGGGAAAACATATCAGGAAATTGGGCATGACTGCATGGTGGGTTTGTTCTAATATTTTTGCTGTCCTTTCTTTGTCATGTAACCTAACTATGCAGTGGATCATATCACCAATGAAAGTGCAAAAAAAATTGCCTGCTTTGTGACACGAGTTAATGTGTATTACATTACACATAATGGGTAAAATTTTCAAAAGTACTTACATCACTTACAAGCCTAAATCTCATTAAAAAAGCATCAAAATCTCTTCGAAACCCAAGTTCCTACATCCCAAGCAATTAGGTGCTTTTGAAAATTTTACCCAATATTTAAATATATGTGGTTCATCCCATCTGGTTTTGTATTTTGTAGTCTATGTTCTATGCATGTCATTTCACTGTGCTCATTTTGATATTAGATTTGTTTAGAGCAATAATATATTCAACAAAAAAATTCTAATGTACTCAATTACTGTTGGACTAATGGGCTAAATTCATCAGATAATTAATTTGCACAAAACATGTGGCCATTTCAGTTTGTGATTTGTTCAAGAAGTGATCCTGATTTCTACTAATGTATTTGCTATTCAAAAGTTATTGCAAATAGTTTGAATGAACAATTTTTAGTCTCAGTTATTCAGAAACTGTTTACTTATTTGATTGGTTTGGGATTGGTTGTCAAATGTTCACAAACACTATTTTTTCAACATTCAGTCAGCTCCAGTGTGGAATGAGGAGGTGCAAAGAATTCTTTTTGCTATCATCTGAGCTAGCTTGCAGGAAGAGGAGAAATTTTCAAGTGAGGAAGAAAAAAGCAACTTAGCCAGATGTCCCTCTATAATTAGCAAATACTGAGGAAAAAAGCTGTACATCAAAATTTTCTAATATCCGACATATCTAAACTAGCAGCTAATAAATTAGGTTAGAAAAGTGCATAAACAGTGTTTGTTTGAATCAAAATTCCTTTGATTTTCAAATGGCTGTTTGGTTTGACCATGCTCACAACTTTGTTATTTACTTGCATTTGAAAAGCTATTCCCTCCTAAATTCAAACAAAATTTTATTTTTCAGCGGAAGCAAATAATCAATTTGTAGCTTATTTGACTACAAAGCCTCCTCTAGCTTTCTTAGCAAACTTCCCTATCTGGCAAACGGCCTTTTTAATATTTGCCT